GCGCGGAGGGGGGGGGGGGGAGTCCGTGTCGATTGACAAGGTGTGACGTGAAGGGGCGATTCACGTGTCACGGTGTCCCTCGATCGCAGATAATTGGATGAGGAATGGGACATCGATCACCCGGATGACTTCGTGGAGCGATCGGGAGATTCCGTCTCGGCGCTGCACCGAGCTGCACCGCGCTGCACCGCGCTGCACCGTGCATAATGGATCCACCCCAAGCCCACACATGTTCGCCGTGCGATGCATCGGTATCGACCGAAGCAGAACGAGAGAAGCGCGTGGTGCAAGCCCCGGTCCCAGTCCCAGTCCCAGTCCCAGTACCGGTCCCGGTCCCGGTCCCGGACGCGATCCCGGACACGATCTGCATGGGTAAGCGTGGGGGAATGACGACCAGGCGGTTCCCGCTGTATCTGCCGCCTTTGGAGCACAAGCGGGAGCATCTGAACACCGTCGTCGTCAGGGACAAGTCGGCCATCGGAGTGCGAAGGGAAAAGGTACGTCGTGTGAATACGCGTCGTTAAGGTACGACCCGTCGCGTCGCGTCGCGCGACTCGTTGCGTCTATCGTCGACCCATTTGTCGAAGGTCGTAACTCCTCTCTCGCTCGATATTTGGTTTTCGGAACGGCATCGCACCGTATGACGTTCCCGTTCCGACGGATCCTCGCGTCTCGCCTCGCCGCGGAAGCGCGTCCGGATTTTCGTTCCTCGCGCTTCCCCGTCGAAGCGAACGCCAAACCTCGTAAACGTCACGTCCCTCTCGTTCGTCCGGAGCGACGAAGGTCGAGAACTGGGTCGACACCATGCCATCGATAAACCATTCAGACTCCCCGCGTACATCGCACGTTCCTTCTTCCGAGAAAATATGTTTGTTCGTGTCAGAGGGAGGGGGTCCCCGGAGCCGCACCCTCGCCCCGACCCAACTCGCCCACCCGCATGGGTTCACCCCCGCCCGAGACGTGGAGATCCCTCGCTCTCACCCCTTCCACGTCGAAGAGTCCTCCGGCGACGGAATTCCGCCTGACCGTGGACCGCCCACCCTCGCCCCCGCCGTCCGAGTCCTACTCCATCCGGCTGCTGACGGTGACCCGAGACGGTCCGCGTTCCTCGCCGAGCCATCCCAGTGCCCTCACCCCGCCGCCAAGGCTCCTCACCGTCGTCAACGAACTCGGCGTGGAGACGGTGCGCGAACTTCCGAGCACCGGGGGCGGTGACGTCGCGGCTCCGCCCGAGTCTCGGGCGAGGAGTCGGAAGCCCGCAGTCGCGAAACCGAAGGAGGGGAAGCTTCGTCCCTTGCTTTTCCTTCGCAAGTCTTGATCTTTCTTTTTTTTCCATTTTCTTTACATGCTGTGATTCCACGCGGACGAAGTGCTGTGTACAAACCCTTTCGACAATATCTTCTGTGTCGACTCTCAACGTCATCGGACGAGTGTCGGATGTCCCCCCCCCAAAAAAAATTTTTTTTATTATTCCGTTAATGCTCTCCTCGTTTCGATGGCAGAACTACATATTTCAACGGTTCGAGCACCAATTCGAAACAAAAACATTGTGCCGTTTCCGCCATGTGTATCTTGCGTATGATTCGTTTTGGAGCTAAAAAAAAATTCCAAGTTGTTTCCATCGACTGGGACATGATTTTGGCTCATGCTTCGCATACCATTCTATATGATGAGGGGTCAATTGGCCGATTGGCCGATGGGCCGATTCGTCTTGGTAAAATCGGACGGCAGGAATAACTCCATCCAGCAAGATAATGCGATGGCAGAACGAATTCGAGTTTTTTAATTACTCTCCGCTCTTTGATTCTTTTGGTTCGTGGAATCGTAGGCAGGAGAGTCATGTCCTATTCCAAAGAACCGAAAACTTAGGGAGTTTTTTCTATGCCCCAGAAGATGCGATGCGAGTTTTTCATGTCTCCCAGAATTCTATTCGCGGATGACGCATGAACCGTCGCAAAATCCTCTTCCATTTTTTAAAAATAGATATAGAGAGAAAAACAGGGAATAGATTTTTTTGGGACTCCCTATCAATAAATGCAATGGATTTTTTTTGTAAGAAAAACGTATCCATATATTTACAACGATCGACATCACAGATGTACCGGTAAACAGGAACAACAGCAACAGGTTTTGATATGCAAACGAAGGGAGACTCAGGTTCGTCGCCGGACGACCTTCGACCCCGTCTGATATGTCAGCTTTCTTGGTCCTCATCGACGGGCAACACAGCGACGATCGACACATCCGAGCGGTAGATTTCAGATTCCACTAAAATCTTCAACGTCCGACGGTTTTCTCACTCGGAACAAGCGGCAGGCGACTCCAGCTATTATTATTGCCTAATTCCAGCTATTATTGCCTACTTCCAGCTATTATTGCCTAATACACTCGAGGAACGAAGTCGCTTTTCCTCCTACACGACAGCGAAATCCACAGTAAAAGGAATCGGACACGAAGCGTTTCGGATTCTTCTCGATGCCGATCTGCGCGTGAAACGACGAGAGAATGCCACGAGACGACTCAAAGCACCATCGACAGCATGGAAACACGTTTCATCGAGTTCATGGGAACACGTTTCGTATGGTTCATGGGAACACGTTTCCACCGATTCTCGGGGCTCCGCCTTCCACTACAAACTGATTACTGTACAAATCATCTACTCACATTTTAAGGACGTGGGTTTCACGTGGAAAAAAAATTATAAAAGGAATTTCTTTCATTAAAAAGAGTCGTAAATTTGTAATAAGAATAATTATTTCGTTTCATCGTTAAGAGTTTCTTTCCAGGACTACAGGAGCAAATCGATTCATTAAAAGTGACCTGAATTTCCCCATCAAACTTTGGAGCCGTGTGAGAGTTGGAAGGTCTGGAAAAAAAAAACACGAGACGCAGGAGGCGGTAGAATCACGCTGGATCACGGAGGAGATCCACAACTAATCTAAGCATTAATCCCACCGCATGAAAAATCAGTGAGGGAATTTCCCTCGGATGCCGACAAGTTCTCCGAACTCACGAGATTCTCAGATGAGGAAAAACACTTACAGCCGGTGATCTCGGAAAATCGACTCGCAAGCTGTGCCGAGCCGAGGGCGAGGGTCGACCGAGAGCCACGCAAACGACTCCTCCTTCTGGTCCGTGGATATCACAGACTCGGAGAATCGCAGAGCGTGTTCGACCGCCGATTTTCCTTTTCGCATGCGGTCTCGGCAGAATTTTACATTTTAAAATTTTTTTTGCAAATTTTGCTCGAGCCGAAAAGACTCGAGGCTGATGAATATCGTCGAATATCGTTCGTCGATTCACAACAATCATCAGCAAACATGTCATAGTCGTTATCGATCGCATCATAATAGATAATTCATAATAATGTGACTCGTGCCCTTGCGACCACGGTCACCACGAGGATGACCGATAACCGTCCGACCATCGTCACGCGTGAACTCTCGAAACGACCGTACTCGAGACCATCACGAGCATTCACGATACTCGAGACGATCGCGGCGACCGATCGCGACGATCACGATCGTCCTCCTAGTGGTATCCGTTCCTTCCTTGTAACGCATGCAAACATCGCCGAGTGGGGTGATTTGTCGGGGTTCAGACGAGCCATTCCATGCCGTGAGAGCAGGCGATGCGATGCGGTGCACCCCCCTCCAGTCATACGCTGGTGGTGGCGTGGTCGTGGGTGTCCTCCGGGTCCTTCAGGTACCTCCTCTCCCCTTCCTTCCGAGAATCCTTCTCCGGTTTCACCATCTTCACCAGCCTCTGCTCGAAACGAACATTTGCCTCGTTTCTATTCTGTCACTCGGAGAAGAGGTCACAGGAACGCGTTGTCGTTCTGGAGCGACGTTTTCGCGGCTTCGCCTTTACGTGGCACGGCCACGAATCTCCCTCGAATCGTTTCCCTGTTTCTTTCTCGATATCAGAACGTGAGAAAGGAAGAGGGAAATGCATGCAATAGGTTCCATACCTGTCGGAACGATCCAGGTGTGACGGTGAACATGTAGAGGATGTAAGCGGGGATGAAGGTGATGGACGAAGCGGTGAGGACCCAGCCGACCCCGTTGGCCCAACTCGGGTAGCCCACCAGGTTCTCGTGCTCCCACAGGGTCATCACGAATATCACCTGAAAGCGTTCCGAGAAACCTCGTATGGAACCCCGTTCGTCTGAAAACGCCGCAAAAAAAATCGGACTGACGAGGATGAAGACAGGGCTGATGCAGGTCCAACAGATGCGCCAGAAGAGACTCGGTGCGAAGCCAAGCATCTGCGTGATGTCGTTGCAGAAATTCGAAGCTCCGTAAATCCAACATATCCCGGCCGATTCCACGAACACGACGAAGAGGATGGCGATGCTCGGTCCATAGGCGTTCAACAGTTCCACCACGTACACGCCTCCCTGAAAGAAAAGAGAAATGTACGGGCATTTACGAGCGGGGAGAACCTCTTCCAAGGTTTCCACATCGGCCAGATCCTCGTCCGACGTTCCCCACGGTCGAGGAGAGTCGTTCACGGTGGTGGGTGGCATTAAAGTCAAGTCCTCTCCCTCCGTTCCCTTTCCTCATCGTTAACATGCACGACTAGGATAAGAGCAGTTTAACGGAAAGGGTCACTGACTTCTCTGTTTTGCCCTCATGCCCCCGAGTTTTAACATTATTTACTTCTGCAAAGGACAAAGATCTGGCCGAAGTGGGAATCTGAGTGATGATTTCCCACCCTTTTACAAAAGAAACTCGGGATGATATTCATTCATGGGAAATGTATTCGTGAACAAATATATGAACTCGTAAAAATGTATTTTCTCCGCAATGCCTTTTTTTCTGCGAGTACCTACACTTACCGTACTGTATATGAATCTTCCATGACTGGAATCGCTTGAGAAGAGGAGAAAATTGGACAGGAATTTCACAGGGAATGCATTTCGAAGGATTCAAGTTTTCGCGATACGGACGTCTTTGCACGTATTCCCGCGCGAATCATCGCATCTGAGAGGACTCGCACGAATTTTCTAGAGCTTGAACCGGAGTGCCATCAGATGGATCTAATAGGCAGCCCAGGAGTCGAATGAGTCAGGTCAGGTTCCCTCGAGGGAGTCCGCCCTGGAACAGGTTGACTGGAGACGGGCCAACCTGTTCCCGCAACATTTTTAAATTTCCCTTCTCTCTTCCCCCCTCCCCTTCCCTCCAGGGATCCAGGCATTACTGAAAATCTGGTACCTGTCGCAGAATTGATACCCTGACGGTAAGTTAAAGCTTGTTGTTTCGTCACCGGCGTTTCGGAAAAGGAGTAGAGAGAGAGTGTGAGCGAGAGTGAATGCGAAATCACCCTTTTGCCCAAAACATTGCCTCTGCTCTGCCAACAGCTGAGGAAATAAATTTCAAAAAGGGAGGAGGACAAAGGGTTCATTTTCTGGAAATTTTTTTGTAATCCCAAGTCAATTGATATCGGAGAGGCGCAATCACTTTAATGCATGTTGAAGCTGGAATGAATTGCAAATCTCTTCCCGTTATAAATCAGGACAAGGAAGTGGCGAGCGGGACACTTCCATCAATCTACAGGGAAGGGCTTTTTCAATATGCGAACCCGGTTGCATTTGCCACAGATACACTCCCTAGACCTACAGTAGAGCTTGCCCGTACCCTCGGACCGTCCAGACACGAGGATATGCAGTAAAGGGGGGATGGGATGGAGGGGGGGGGGGGGGGGGGGGGGGGGGGGGGGNTCCTATCTGTGGTTGAAGATGAGGCCAAAGTCCTTTTGATTGATTCTGGTGCAGTGGGGGGGGGTTAGGGGGAAAGGAGGAAAGTAATATAGAGGATTGTTTCTTGAGCAGAAGTCGTTTTCGTGCTTTTCGCCCTTTTCGTGTTGAACTGAATTCTTTTCCGTACCTGAATGCCACGATGTCGAGTTCCATTCGAGGAATGCATATTCAACTGCCCCCCATCGCGCCAGGTGGTGGATGGGAAAGAACTCACGTAGGTCGTGGTGGAGAGGGCGGGCAAGTAGATGAGGACGAGAAGAACGGCGACGAAGAGCTCCCTCCGCTTCCCCAACAGCCGAGGGTACTCGTCGCACAGGCCCGTTATCATCGCCTCCAGCCCTCCGAACGTGCTATCGATACCTACCAGAGAGGGACGTGGCGACGTTCCTTATCCGTTCGCATCCGGTGGTCGTTCGTACTCATAAACGAGACGGACTCGAGCGCGTTCCTATCGCGCTATCCTTATCGCTTTCTCGCTTGCTTTCCCTGTCGGCTTCGAGGCTCCTCTGTTCGCGTTTCCCCTCGGTACGTGAATTCGCTCTCTCGAGCTAAATCTTTCGAGCCTGACATCGAAGAATGGGAGTTCCAGGAAGTCCGATTATATCTACGCGCGAGTCGATCCGATGCGGATGACGCATTTTGACGTCCCTCTCCATTTTCAGATTCGGTTCTTCATCTGTGAGCTTCAAAGTAGTGAAAGCAAAAAAAAAATTTCGAAGAGAAAATATCGGGCCCCTATTCAAACGAAAATGTAAATCCTACCAACCGTCGGCTATTTGATCGATTGATCGCATCGTAATCATATCGTTATTCCCTCTCAGAATCTTGCAAAGTAAACAGCATCCATTGGCAAAGGAAATGCGATGCGGAATAAAATGAACGAGCCTAATGCAGATTCCGTCGTATTATCCAGTTCTGCTCGATCGACCTCAAGTTTCAGTTTCTATATATCCTGCAGAAACTGATAGTACCTGACAAATGCATCACTCAGCATAGATAGGACCCATGAAATGAGTGACTGGAATCGCAATCGCAATTAATTATTGCATCACGATTAAAACCAATATCAATATTGGCAGCCATAGAAAAAATGTTTGAAAGGGAATGTTCACCATACAGTTTATAAGATGAGCAACTTGAGAGCATGCGAGATGTCCCGAGCATCATGCTTTTCAGATGCGGATGTTTCTTCATGTTACATACCTGTATATGTACCATGATGTTGAAGGAATATATTCCTTCCTCTCATTCCCTCACTGCCATGAAGCACTCGGATCAAGTATTGAATCTGGAAAATGGGGGGGGGGGTCAGAAAGTGGTGAGATTTGCAATAGGTGTTCGGCATGATGTGCAGCAACGTCATGAAACTTCCCGAAACTCTCTTTCTTCTATATGAGGTCGAAAGCGTGTTGATTGCCCCTCCGCGACGGGCAGTCAGAACGGAGATATCCACGGATCTCCCCGGCTCACAAATGGTAGGGAAAAACGCAAACGAAGCCACATGGTAAGCCACCTTTTTTCGGGTTTCTTTGCTCAACTGATGCGATGGGACTGTTGCCGGTCGATCGGAAAGAATGCGACCGACTCCGTTTCGCCCCGATGAGAGAAGCACGGAGACACGAGAAGACGTTAAGAGTCGCGATCGTCTGCATCCCGCTCGTTCTTGCTCGTGCATCGCCAGGAACCCCGGAGGATTCACAAGGAGCTCGCATTCCGGCGAGCTTCAGCCTTCTTCCTCGCGGGAATGACGCTTAAATAGGCCCCATCGTTCCGATATTGCAACGAAGGTTGACCTCTACCTAAAACGAGTGTCCGTTCTAAAGAACATCACAGGAACGAGGGGTTTCCCACTCGCAGAGACAAAAATTCCCGTAGTCGGCGCCTCCCTTCCTCCTGCATTCAGTCTCACACTCATTAGCGATTCCGATGCTTCGGCGCGGCAGAATTACAGGAGGAACATCACGTAGTCGTCCTGTTATTTGAAGCTCACTCCATCTCGTTCTCGTCGCATTGCGTAATTCACCTCGTTAAGATTTACGGCACGACCGACAGAAAATGGAAACGCGGCCCGACCTCACGTACGACAGAGCAGCGGGAGGTGTTGGGACTGACCGAGCGTGATGAGCATGATGAAGAAGACGATGGACCAGAAGACGGAGCCGGTCATGGAGGCGATCGCCTCCGGATACACGACGAACACCAATCCGGGACCTGCAAACACCATCGTCGTCTCGGGAGGGCTGGGGAGGGGGGGGGCACCGGGGGTGTTCCACTCGTTTTTAACTCTTCGCTCTGGGTGGGGTGCATCCTTTCATCGCTTTCCCCGTTCTGATGGTCGAAACCCTTCATGTTCCCACCTTTCGCCTTTCTTCGATCTCGAGGGGACGAATTTTTACGACCTGCTTCTCGAACACGGATTCCTCAAAGGAAGCTGAAGGCTAGCACGAGAACTCGACGCGATGGAAACGCGGCAAGGATGCCAAAGATCTTCCGAAGATCCGGTTTGGTCTAATTCTGTAGACGCCGCATTTCTATGGGATTTGGGTGAGGCACATCCATGCAAGAGGGTCTAGGGTGATCCTCGAGGGCCTAGAGTGATCCTCTAAATCTAGATTGATCCTCGAGGGTCTAGGGTGATCCTCGAAGGTCTAGGGCAACCCTCAAAGGTCAGAGACCACCCTTGCCCTCGTTCCCGGTTTACTTTAGGCCGAGGGTATAGCAATCGATGGCGCGTAATTTCCTCCTATAGAACTCCTATTTGAGAAAGTGGTTGCTCCGCAACCGCACCCACGACCTACTCTTGCACGACTCGCACCGTAAATACAGCGCCCCGCGAAACAAAAGGCCGCTGTGTATAAATAGAGCATATCGGGCAAAACCGTGGGAAAGGTCGTGGAACACCCTCGTGCTTCATACGATCGACGTGTGTACCTTCGGATTTGCCGACATCCTCGACGCTCTTGCCCTGGCAATGGGCCATGTAGCCGAGAACGGAGAAGATGACGAATCCGGCGAGGAAACTCGTGAGGCAGTTCACGGTCGACGTAAACAATGCGTCCCTGTCGAGTGTACGATCCAAACATTCCTCTCAACATCCAAACATTCTTCCACGATGCATGTTTCCACCCATTCGTTCGATGTATACTCGAGATTGCATGCAATCGAAGGTTTCCAAGCTTTGGAGTAATTATTTTTTCTTTGGGGTGGAGGGAAGCACCCTGACGTTTACGAAATGTTGTAAGAGTGCGCGATCGTTTCAGATTATTTCCACATTCCAAAATTTGACAAGTGACAAAATGGCATAATCAAAATTGCCGCCCTTTTATAGCATTGACAAAGCCCAAAAATGCTGCCGATCGCACACTCCAAAAAATCGCATAAAATATTTGGGAGGCTAAATCATCCCCTCGATCCTCTCCGATTGGAAGTCTATGCATGCACTGACTATGGAAGTATCGCGATCATTAACTGTCCCACTTCTCCCTACGACTACATCCATTCATTCTTCTGAGGGTAACCTGTAACAGTTGTTGTGGAACTTGTTGTAGGAGGAGAGAGCGATCAAGGTCCCGAATCCGGGACCCAAGGAGAAAAAGATCTGAGACGCTGCATCCGTCCACACCTGCAAGACGACGCAAGAGGCCGTAAAAAAGGGAGCAAAGCGGACGTGGGGCACGGACGGAATCGGAGGTCCCCACACCTTCACTTCCTTGAGCTTCTCCCACTTGGGAGTGAGGTAGTACATGATCCCATTGTAGGAACCCGGGAGGGTGACGCCCCGCACCAACAGGATGAGGAGCACCACGTAGGGCACCGTGGCGGTGAACCACACCACCTACCCCGGATTCAAAATCACTCGTTAGCATCCGTTTGTTTTCCCTCGCGCTGTCGTGGAGTCAAGAGGGCCGACATTTTCTGTCTCATCGTGACCCCAGTAAAGAGTGTTAACATTTGTCCCGATTCACTTGTGCCCCGTTTACGGCGGCGTTCGTAAATCCCCTACGCCCCCATAAAATTGACGTTAAGGGTGAAATAAAAACAAAGCAGAAGAAAACCAGCACCATGTGTCCCGACTTCTCTTTCCTTCTTCTAAAGAGTTTAAGCTCTTCCCAGAGAGAAGAGAGAGAGGAGTGCGTACCACGCCGGTGCTTCGGACGCCCTTCCAGATGGAGAAATAGACGAGAAGGAAGACCGCGAGGAGACAGAGGGCCAGGTCCCACTTCACATCGCCGATATCCGAGATCCCCGTCGATAAGTGCTTCGACAGCACCTGCCGGCTAATTATAAAAACATGAAGATGAGTGAAAACCTGATTTGAAATAGGTTCTAATTATTTATTTTTTCCTTCATTCTTCCCAGTGAAGCTTGCAATCGAGTCTCTTCTAGGATTTATAGGAATCCATCAGAAACCGGCTCTTCGAGTTCCAAGCATTGAAATGGCGACGAGAAGGAAGTTGAAATTCGACTTTCGTGGCTCCCGACACCAACTCACCTTATGTAGGACTCCTAAGTTTAGAACACGAAAGGAGCGGGTGAGGCCAATGCGAATCGTTTCACCGAACACGCCGCATTACGGCGTGATGCGATTCGTGTCTCCATCATGGGACTCGCGTTCGTCGAGGCGACGACTCCTGCGATTCCTTCGAATCCGCTGCGTGTCAGTCTGTGTAGCTACGATCTCGAGATCGAAGCTTTAATTCGTTTCATGCTAATGGTTCAGATCATCTACGAAAGCCATGCGATTCGGGGGGATAAGATTGAAGTAAGAAAGACGGGTCCAATAATTGCAAATAATCACCTCGTGCTTTAGATCCTCGCCTCCGCGAAGAATACCACGGGAGATTCGATGTTCGCAGGACTTATTCATTGTATAGAGAGTAGATAAAGTGCGACATATTTCTGAAAGTGCAGCTAGAAAGGACAAACGGTGGGTCATGTGCTCCCGGTCGGCAAGGGGTGCAGAAAAGTATCGGTGCTATCGACAGTAACGATGCGAGATGCAAAGCGTTCACGTAACTCCTTGGAACGGATGGACTTATAATAGTGAGAGGGAATAAAAGTGAGAATATAGACACGAGAAGGCATGGAGTATTGGGAAACGCGACTATGAAGACTTGCAAGCTCAATGATTCAAAAGAAACCAGGAAAGTGCGAACACAAGGGGAATTCAATAAGTCTTTGTATTTAACATGATTTTCTCATCCATTTCCTGTTTTTTTTTTCCCGGCGGGTAAACAGTGTGTTTGGATGTGTGCATGCCAAGCTATAGGAGTCTGGTGTGAATAGTTTACTGTCAGTTTATTTTTATGTGCAGTGACCTTGGCACTTTTGACCTTGAGAAATTTCAACCATGGAGCCCTCAAATTATATGATTTTGTATTTTCACCTTTAGATGATCGTGTAAGATGGTATTTATCGTTCCTGATGAGGCCTCCAGAGTACGCTGAATTTGGCTATAGGTGACATTCGGGTCTTCCTTCAGGAGGGCTCGAGCAACTCGAATGCTTTTTTTCGTTGGTTACCACAGGGGATTGACCGGACCTAGGGTTCTCGGAAAATTCTCCTCTCCCAAAACGAAATTCGTCGAACCGATTCTGACTGGTCCTCAAAGAAGGGGAAGCTTTGCCTCTACCATCTCAGAATGGCACTTACTTGAAGAGAGACTTCTTTTCAGGCAATACTAAATCGTGACCCGTTCGTCATAATTCGAGGACTCTACAGATGAAGTTTCTCCAGGTCAGAAGTGTCAGGGTCATCGCACATAAAACTTAACTGACAGCAAACTATACAAACCAGACTTCTGCAACATGGCATTCACACATCCAAAAACACTGTTTACTTTCTGGGGAAAATGATAGGAAATGGACGAGGAAGTCATATAAAGTGCAAAGACTCATCGAGGGACCCTCGTATATCCAACGTCGAGAGAGGAAAATCTGAATAAAGATTGAGAACATACATTTTTGGATTTCATAACACCACGAACACTGCCGTTGGAATTAACATCGAAAGTTGAAATGCGAGAGACACGGAACGATCGTCTCACTCGAAGAACTGCTGGGCCGGGCTGCCGAACCCCAGAGCCGTGTCGTTCGCGTCGATGGTCTCGTTGAGGTAGGCAGAGCAATTCAGTTTGGAGCAGTTCACGTTCCAGGGGTTGTCGCAGTTGGTCCAGGGCAGTTGGGTGGTGAAGGAGGCGATGAGGTAGTACAGGGCCCAGCCGATGATGGTGTTGTAATACATCCCCATGTAGATGTCGATCACGCAGATGGCGTATCCCACCCCTTCGAGAGACCACGAATTCACCATCTGGAAAGCTTCATCGAGACTTTCTACGAGAGCAAGAGGAAAGACCTTTGAGCATGGGGCAGACGCGTTTCCACAGGGTGATGCACCCACTGTGATGGAATTGTCCCAGGGCCAGCTCCATGTAAAAGAGCGGCAGCCCGCCGAAGACGAGCATGACGACATACGGAATGAGGAAAGCACCTGAGGAGAGACGAAAGAGCGTGGAAATCTCCCGCACTCGACTCCGAAGAACCGACCAACCCTACCTCCCCCGTTCTGGTAGCAGATGTAAGGAAACCGCCAGACGTTGCCCAGGTCGACGGCGAAGCCGATCACGGCGAGGAGGAACTCCACCTTCTTTCCCCATTGTTCCCGTTCCGGCTCCTGGCTTCCCGCGTTCTTCGCGTTCCTCGGGAGGAGAAACGCCCCATCTCTCTTCACCTCGACGTGACCTTCCACCGGCGACATTCCCATTCCCCGGATGCACCACCGCTCTCGAATCCTGGCGCAATGCAAGTCTCTCATTCGGGGTGTTTTGCTCTATGAGCCACCTTACAGAGCGACCTTCTCAATTTTCCCGTCACGTGCATTCCTCCGTCCCAACTTCAAGAAGTCCATAAATCTTAAGTTTTCAACCCAAAATAAAGAAATGAAGTACGGACGAGACGCAATCCCTTCCCCCCTCACCCTCGAAAACACCGAGCGAAGAATATCTGAAAGCCGCTTCGTAATTTTTCATTTTACCTTCTTGCACGGAATCTTGACCTATTTTAGGATATCGGGGGATCCCGGAAATCGGGGCGAAGATTGTCAAAAGATATCGAAGCATCCCGAAGGAGGAAAAAGCAAAACCCCAATAGAGTATCTGACATCAGATAATACACGGGTGAGAATCACAGAAACACGTATACCGCAATCGCCCGGCGATAGGCAGGGTTTTCTCATGTTGTCGACCTCGTCGAGACGAAACGATCCCCTTCACTTTACTTTCCATCGCTCTGAGTGCGTTTCGGCGAGAGTGCCGCTACGGCGACACCGAACGGCTTAGCGATGCGTACGTCGCAAGTGTCGTAAGGAAGACACGCTCGTACATCGGGACACGAGATACAACCGAAATGCATCACGATGTATCTTAGAGAATTGCAAATCGCATATAGCTTTAAATGCATTTTTAAAAAAGTGAAAGAAAAAAATTTGACGGGAGATTCTGAGAGCTCCGGACTGCGTCCGATCCTCGGTGTTCGCCGTGACCACGTCAAGGAAGAACGGCGATCGAGCGCGAACACCTGTGGCCGTGGACTGCGTTCTCCGCGGTCTTCCATGGCTGTTCTGGGAGTTACATCTCTCCGTCTTAAAGACTCGCATTCATCGCGCGAATGCATGGATCTTTATCTGGAATCGTTTCAAATTAAGTATTTCCGATCCATATCTTTAGATACTTTCTTTTTCAGTACTCACCGAATTCGAGTAAATTCGAATGCTTTATTTCGCCATGATCGCCAGAGTCGGTTCAAAAACTTTCATCCGAAGCGCAAAGTAGAGAAAAACACCCTGTGATGGTCATGTTACTGTTAATACGAAAAAGCTAAGAACGGTATCCACATCGGAAAAGAAGACGATTTGTAACCGGTGATGATCATACGGCCTCACGTTTCTGATGGTAAGTTTATGTGGTTAAACGGTGACGTCACGGCAAATGTCAACATCCTAATTCTAACGCCGGTTTTACCGAAAGTTTGACCTCTTCGAGGCGATTCACAGGCATCGCTGCAGTGACGCTAACCGGCTACTACTCAGAGGATTCGCATCGGCATGGGACGGTGAAAGAATAAATAAGGCCAGCCGATGTGCCATGCGACGTCATTCGCTTCACGTCTCGCAATTTCTATTTTGCATTTTCGTCCTTGATCTTCCCAAGGAAACGATGCGAGCATCACCGACTACCGGAAGAACCCGTGTCGGCCGTTCGAGAAACGTACAGACGTACGTTGCACGTACGGCACGTTGCAGACACGGATGTCCGGGTTCCCAATGCGATACTCACAATAGGCATAAGATGGCGTTTATATTCTTCGGAACGGAACATTCGAACTCGAGTCGGGACGCACCGGACCTTAGAGCGTTTTCTTTCTTTCTCTGTATTCTTCTCATCGTGATACTCGTAAAGTAACATTTGGTAAAATTATAATTATCATGTTTCGATGGCAATCACTTATTCTAGAAAAAAAATTTTAAATGCTGGGGTTTTGAACGAGGACAGAGAAGCGTAAACTGACGGGTTATGAGTTTTTACTCGAGGTCGAGCAAACAACCGATTTTCAAGAAACGTAAAAAGTTATCTTTACGATCATCTGGACTCGCTACGTACTCCATCCTCGATGACCGGAAAAGGCGCCGTTTATGAGAGCCGATTCGTCCAGTAGCGTCATGGAGACATTGTCGAGCTGTCACCGTCTCCGTTAACACGATGGTATGAGAATATCTTCATCATCTGCGACGGCTCGTCGACTGTCCGAGACGTGCTACCGTATGACGGTGTCACTAAAGCTCACTTCAAAGCTCCTAAAAGCTGAAAATTAAGGTTCACGAGCAGATATTTCAAACACCTTTACGCCCGAAACAAGGTACGCGTTCCAAAGAAAATACTTCATCCGTACCTTCTGAATAGAGATGAGAAGGGTACGCATTTGCACCTCGTTTTGCTTCGGTACCTTTTCGACGAACGTATTTTATGACATACGGTTGTACCTCATAACGTACAAAATATTTACATCTCTGAACGTTTCTGCTTTGCTGTGAACGGGTGTTCCGCAAAACCATCCGAGTCGCAACGAAATAGCCCATCGAGCAGATCCGGAAACAGAAGTTCGACGCCCACTCCGATCGCTCGTTACACGCACGGCAAGAACATGCCACGGAGCTCAGAGCAGGCCTACGGCACGAGGAGCCGGTTTCCGGGACGACATCGGCAACAGGTGTGTCGATCGAGTCGACACGCAAAAAAGATTTCACAGTTCTCGATGGGGATGTACCCTTCTCGTGGACTTTTGCACCACCGTGTAATGTACCTCGTATTCGGGTCTCGCACGCGAGACCTGAATTCTCTGTTTGCAGAGTTCTTTGGATGAGCTTAGTGCCATGATCACGTCGGGACAACGAATCTCTCGTGTTAGAGAACGCTCGAGCGCACGGAAGAATCATCTTTCAAAACCCAACCCATCATCGGAGACTAGAGTTAACTCAATCATTCCTCCCCCTACGGTCCCTGGGTTTAACCCCATGGCGTTCCCGTTCTCACCCTTTAAAGCAGAAGTGAAGAGGCGGTTCGGTGCATTTCAGGCCCCTGTTGCTAACATTGGCAGCTGCGATAGGGATCACTCTTACAAGGTAATGCCAAATGATAAAAAAAAAAACACCTCCAGTCAATTCTCAGATGCCTCGTGTAGATATGCACGAATGCATTCTTTTCGACATGTCGATGCGGCATCGGTCGGAAACTCCATTCTCGAAAGAAGGCGTTTCGCTTTTCGGTCTGCCGTCTGCACGGCCGTTTACCTGCCGGGTCCGGTGACCGTTTTTCTCGCTCCGTCCAGAATCTGAGACGGGTTGCCCGAATGACGGGTTGCCTGAGAATCACCCCGTGAAGGTACTTTTCCAAATTGAGAATTGCGATCGAACGTCTGCACGAATCCAGGACTGTTCGAGTCCGACGCGCGGCTTGGAAACAAAAGGACTTTTTTTTTTAGAATTTCCACGACAAGCATTCCAAAGATGAAGCTCGTATTTCTATAGGGTGGCATTAAAAGATGTCAAGGATCACGGGACTAGATTTAACTTAATCTAATGACGCAATTAGTTGTGTTTTATTGTCCCCGTTTCAGATTTGGCTGATTTTGCAATCGGCGTATTCTAATCGGAATGATTGAAAAGAGGAGCTGCACGTTCGTCATACCCGAGCCGTCACTTTTCGAGAGGCTCGTGATGTAGGGGTGGCCGAACGGCACCACTTTATGTGGCGGTGGCCCAACGGAATCAATAGCAAGTTTCGTCGGTGAGCTTCTCTCGATCATTCGGCAGCGAACGGGTCATTGTGCAAAATCAATCAAATCTGAAACAGGAAAAATGCGTGAATCGCTTCACTGCAGTGCTGGAAGAAATGAAGAACAAGATATGAAGGACAAGGACATCAGGGTCCTTTTCCAGCAACTAAACAAATCTTATCCCTCACAGTTGCAAGTGCGTTGAAATGCTGATGGATGTTAAAAATAAATGTTAAGACATCTCCACAAAGTTATAGTCACATTTACTTTCTATAAATGAAAAGCTCCTCTTGTCAAAGTCATACCAGTGAGCTCCACAGGGGGGAATAAGGAGAAAATATTGCGTGCCACCCTGTACCTCCTGTATTCATCTCCAGCACTTTCTGTCTGGAACTTTCGTATCTGTATCTTTATATCTGCGTCCTTGGTCTGCTCGATCTCGTTCGCTTTTCTACAGATTTTGTGATGAAATTCTGTCGAAATGTCAACAAACTAGTTAAATAGGATGATAGCCCGACTCCTCACGTCATCGAAATACAAACGAAACTCCGAATGAGATTTTCATCTCTTCGGATCCTCAGCTTCCCACAACCCCCTTCAACCCCCCTCAGCCCCTTTCGACCCCACTCGGACCCCCTCGATCCCCTCGACCCCCTCGATCTCTCGTTTTCTCCTTCGAATCTCTTTCCCCCCCCCCCCCCCTCGATCCGCTTTTTTTCCTCCTCGCCGCTCTCTCATTCCCCCGCGATCCGGAAGAGCTAAGTCATTAATAGAGATACATACCGCACGATGAGAGAAAAGCGCGATGGCACGTCCGGATCATTACGAGGCGCATAGAGCATAGGGCATAGAGAATAGACGGGCGAGATAAAGGACTTGTTGCGTTGAATAGCTTCATCGACGGCGGACCGCACGATAAGACCTGTCCCCTGATTATTTATTCCCTTCCTCCTCTCCTCTCATAGATGATGAGAGGCCGCGATCGTCCTTTAAGCCTCGTCCTTTAAGCTTCGTCCTTTAAGGGACCTTGGAACCAACCGCTCTCTCCTAAGGCCTTCTGTCGTAAATTTAAACGCTTGCACTTCTCAGGAGAGAGTATCGGGTGAATGCGGTACTCGTAAGAGCGTTTCCAGCACATTTTCCTCCGGTCGAAGGCATACGTGTGTCAGAGCCTCCAGGGATATTTAATGGTTTCTTGCATTCCTGGCAGGAAGGTTATCGCAAACTAAATCGATGACGAGACGAGATTTGAATTGTAGAGACAAAAAAAAGACTACGAGACTGAGATCGGCGGACGTGTCTTTTACCACGTTTCCGTTTCGCTTTGCTTCCGAAGCTCTTTCTTCCCCAGTTCGTTTATTTTCATGCCTTTCTTTTTTTTCGAGTATTTTTTTCTTCCCGCGGCCCATCCAAGCACGAGCGGAAGGTTTCGTTTCTTGGATCGACTGACGAAAGAATTTGAAACCATCAAGAATGAAGTGATCG